AAGGGGTCGATCAGCGAACGTACCTCAATCAGATTGAGGACGTTTATAGCAAAGGCCAGCTTAGGAATACCCTAATTAAGTTAATAACCATGTACCTACCTATATAGTTTAAAAAATTTGGCTCTCAAAAGAAATTTCAATCGTTGTACTGTTGATATTTGGCTCTGTTGACTGATGAGTTTGCCGACCACTGCCCTAGGGGTCAGAGGAGGCTCATGATGCCAAATGCAGTCAACAAAAACGCAATCACTGACAAACTGGCAAAAGCCGGGGCTTCCAGGAGTTTCCACAGGCTGTGACCCGGGAAGCCCACAGTCAGTGACTTGGGATAGCCTGGCCTCCAGTCCTCTCTGGTTGGAAATGCTTACACTTACTGCTGTTTAAAAAAGAAAGGGGGGGGGGGAAGGCTCTGAAATCTAGCATTTTAAAACATGCTCTAACTACATTTAGTGGCTGGAAGGAAAGACGGGTGAAAACCTAAAAAAAGCTACTGTCCCCTCTCTGCCTGTCCCCAGACCCCGCTAGCCCTGCCTGCTGATGAGTTCTGGCCCACACATCCTCTCTCCGACCCCCAAGTCCCACCCTGGCCTCACCGGCGGGAAGTTGTGCCAAGAAAACGGGAAGGAGGCAACCAACCATGGACGGCTCCTGGGACAAAACCCAGAAGAAAGGGGGCGCATCCCCAAGAAACCAGGCCCGGGGACTCCACAGCCCTCGCGGGGTCCCCCTCACCCACACAACCCGAGGACATCGCGCCAGACTCCCGAGGGACCGCAAACCCGGGTCCCGACCCTCCCCCAGGGTTCACTCCGCGACCCCAAGTCCCGCCCCACAGTATCCCCTGCAGCCCTACCAGGTCACTCCCATGATGTCGGACCAGGAGGATGGCAGGACCAAAGAGTCGAATCGCAGAGTTCTCCGTCCACGCACAGTTAGTGAAGGCGCCCTACGGCCAGTTCCGGTGGAGGGAGGGGCTCCGGAAGTGACGTAAAAACAGAGCGCCCCAGTCGACGCACCGCGAGGAGCAGGGGCGTGTCTAGGCGCCTCCTCGCCGACACCTTCGTTGGTATCCCTGCCCGGCGGCTGCCCCCAGGCTTCCATCACCCTGAGCCCCTAAATCCTCAAAGGTTGGAGGAGACAACGTAAAAGGCACAGAGTTTATTGGGGAGTCTGGCCCCAGGACCCGCGAGTTCTCAGCAGGTGGGGCGGCGCGGATGGCGCTCCTGGCCTCCGAGCGGTAGGGGGCGCTGTGCTTCGGCGTGGCCTCTGGGGAACGGGGCGCACACCGCGCAGACGCACTCGGGACTGCTTCTGCGTCTCCACGTGTGAACTTTCCCGGCACCTTTTTGAGAAAAATGCCCAAATTCAAGGCGGCCCGCGGGGCCGGGGGCCAGGAAAAACACGCTCCCCTTGCCGAGCAGATTCTGGCCGGGGACGCGGTGCGGGCAGGGGCCCGGGAGAAGCGGCGCGGTCGCGGGACCCAAGAGGAGGAAGAAGAGTATGTGGGGCCCCGGCTGACCCGACGGATTTTGCAGCAAGCGCGGCAGCAGCAGGAGGAACTCGAGGCCGAGCATGGGACTGGAAGCCGGCCCGCGGCGCCGCGGGAGCGCATCACGCGGCTGG